GGCAGGGAGGACTCAACCCCCACAAAAGCTCCCGGTTCAACACAGCAAACGTCTCAAAGAAGGGTGGGTTTCACCCCCAGCCACCGCTTCCTAGACGTGGCTCGGCTCCCGGTCCGGGAGAGGCAAGCCAGCCTCTGACGGGCCCACAGGTATGATCGGACACCTTCCGAGGCGGCTAACCTGCTCCAGGCCACCCTGGCATCTGCCACGGATGCTCTCCGGGTCCTCTGAAGGCTGGGGGTCTTTCATCCAGGTGTTCTTGGACTGCAACTCCCAGAAGCCTTCACCACCAGCTCTGCTGGCCAGGATTTCTGAGCACTGCAGTCCGAGCACTCCTGGGTGACCCCCGAGCAGGAACCGCTGGCGTCTCCCTCGTACCCGGCCTTCGGGTTCCACTTGCAACCCACCCCCTCCAACCGTCTTGTCCTCCCTCCTACCCACATTCTTCCTCTGGCCCCACTTACACCTCACCCCCACCCCAGGTGCTTAAGGTACCTTTTCCTACACCGGTACTTCTGGACAGGCGTCAGCGACCGGGCGTGGCACCTCTCGATCGCTTGGCGGTAGTGGACCTCGTTCCACAGCTTGAGCAGCTCCTCCTTCTCCATCACGGTGCAGCTCTGGGTCAGACAACAGGAGACGAGGTCACCTCTGAATTACAGCTCCCTCGCCAGGCTCTGGACAACCTGCTCTTAAGACCTTGCATTCAAAACGTGACTTTTTCAAAAGCTTGGCGAGAACGTTCGTTCTGATCTCAGCCACCCAGAGCGGCTTCCAGTCCCACACCAGTTCTGGAAAACTTAATATTTTGGGATGGCAGCACCTGGAATCCAGATGCTGAGTGTTGCGGTCCTCAGAACGTAGCATTCAATTGTACCTCTAGAAGGTGGCAGGCGGCAGAGAACTCCTTCTCCTGGAGGCGGACAGTCACCCCAGCCTGGACGACGGGGAGAGAGGCGAGGAACCGGCGCCAGTGCCTGCCCTGCTCCATGGCCTCCACCAGCTTCTTGAGGCCCCGAGGGGACCGCCGGAGCCCCTG